CGTTACTTGAAGTGGAATCCCGAGAATGAGCAGAATGGAGTAAGTACATTGTCGCGTTGTTGTCAAGGGCATGAAGTAGGAGTATTTTAATCCTCTTGGTTGATTTTCAGCTGAAACTAATTGGATGCCTGCCAGTTGGAAAAGTGATAACAAAAATATGTCGCATGACGACTTCCAGTTTTGCGTTGGGCTATGCGAACGGAGACCTTGGAATGTACCGATTCCTATGAAGTGTTGCTATGACTTGTATCTGGTGTTGCTCTAACTTGTTCCATTATCATGTTTACTCTATTAATACTATACTCTTTTCCATATTTTGTGGCAATTGTCAACTTTTAATGACACATTGGGGAAGTATATTGATTTTGCTATGTTTGCTATAGAGCATAGGCGATTGATAAATTGTTTGTGCAATAGATGCGCTGTAAGTAGTTTAATGTGGCTCATGTCGAAGTAGATCTACTTGTACTTCTTGGTCATAGCACACTAGATATTCCTTCATATAACGAATGGTCTTCCCAAGGACAACATGAGCCGACAGTGTTCAGGGAGTGGTAAGGCAAAGTTTATGCTGGCCAATTGCTACTGAATGGGAAGGAGTGGAATGTGGTAATGGAGAGGCGTCAGTGCTGAGCGATAATGGATGAATGGTTGGCCAGGCACAGGCGAAATATGGTGCGATTGTCATCGACGGATTTCATGGTCTTTGGTCTCTGATTGGTTACTCTCAATGCATGGATATACGTAAGTGGGAAGGCGGTAGATAGAGAGACTAAATAGGCCCATGATGTGGAAGATGCTGGTACTTAATGCTCATATCACATGTATATATACGATGCGTTTTTGTCTTAATGCAGTTAGTAAATGGCAAGTGAAATAAGTTGACCTGTCAATAGGAAAACGTGTTTGTCTTAATATGGTAGTCCGGTTCTACTACTGAATGGGAAGGAGTGGAAAAAGACAGCATTCTGAGAGATTAGAGTTAATCAGTAGTGCATTTGCGCAAATTTTTACATGGTTTTGAAGGTGCAAGTTGTGGAATTCTGCTCTCTTTTCGTGGAATACCGAAGGAAAGGAAGTCCACTCGTACGAACACATTACAACTTGTAACTTTTAAATCTAATCTTTGTCAAGCGCATCAAATATAAAATGCATTACTCTTGCGATTTATTTTCCCACAACACATTGGGCATCTATATTAATTAAATAGGGGTGTGCGATAGACTTACCTCCACGTGGTGCATCCTGGACAACGTATTCTCGTACTGCAAAAAAGTCTATTAGCCGGCAGTTGGCTTCTGACTTCAAACTACCCTCACCCCATTGTATGTCACATTCGACTACTTCCATAGTACTCACCTCACCTTTTTTCTAACTTTGTGTCCGTTTGTCTCTTTTACATCTTTGAAACACTCTTCTGCCCCCCCCCCATCTCGACCTTTTTCACTTCGATGTTCCTTTCCCCACTGTGAAGCCTGAAGTCAACTAAAGGGCTAATGATAACTATCAAAACGCCTGCCATTTGATATAAATAAATAAATAAATATTAATTAAACATCCCATATTTGTACATTTAAAGTAAAGAACTGTTGAATGATCACAAAGAAAATGAAATAATAATATTTTGATGGGGGTATTGATTCAATAATTTGTAATGAAATAATGAGATGAGTTGATGGCGGTGCANTCTTTTGTGCTTGCGATGCGTTCTTGCCTTTTCGGAAGTAATACAATAAAATGTGTCGGAAGTGCACGTCCTGTTCTTGCATTTTTAAATTGGGATAAAAACAAAACTAAAGAACTAAACAAAAAAATTTTTTACTAATTAACCTAGAAGCCCATACAGTAAGAAAAAAATATAGGTTAGATGCTCTGGCCACGTTAACAAAACAAAAGAAAGTATAGAGTGAATCTGTCAACAAAAACGGCAATGACTTAGTTGCCAACCCAATAATACCCAGTGCTTGTTGATCTGTTATTTAGTCAGTGATGGTTGGTCTTACCGCTGCAATTCATGCATGTTGACCTTAAACGGTCTTGCCATTATCAAAGCTGTAAGAGCTGAAGCTGTTTTTATCAGTAGAATCTTCTAATTTCAAAATTCGGTTTCCCTTACTGCGTAGATATTGCTATGACAACTATATACAAATCAATTATAAAGAGAAAGGGTGTGCGATAGACTTACCTCCGCGTGGTGTACCCTGGGAAACGTATGGTCATACGGCTAAAAAGTCTATTAACCGGCAATTAACTTCTGACTTCAAACTGCCATCACCACACTGTATGTCATATTCGACTACTTCCACAGTACTCACCTCACCTTTTTTCTACCTTTGTGCTTGTCTCTTACATCTTTGAAACACTCTTCTGTCCCCCCCCTCTCGACCTTTTTCAATTTGATGTTCCTTCCCCTCTGTGAAGTCTAAAGTCAACTATAGGGCTAATGATAACCATCAAGACGCCTGCCATTTGATATAAATAAATAAATAAATATTAATTAAACATCCCATATTTGTACATTTAAAGTAAAGAACTGTTGAATGATCACAAAGAAAATGAAATAATAATATTTTGATGGGGGTATTGATTCAATAATTTGTAATGAAATAATGAGATGAGTTGATGGCGGTGCAACCGCCATCGTCTTAAATTTGTCCAATTTGTGATTTCATGGTCTTGCCTGCTACAGACAACTAAAAATGAAATTGAAAAATGGGCAGGGAGGGCGAATTGAAGCTGGGAAACTGGAGGGCAGGAAAAAGCAATGACACTGAGCTAGTATAATTAGATTTGTGATGAATAGGAACTATTGATGAGTGATAAGATAGACGGCGAATCTCATCTGCTTTGTACGTTGATGACCAGTTGATGAAATGACGGGAAGAGTCAAGAGTCAAAATTCATTCCAATCGCCTTGAACAAAATGAGCAAAAATGGAAGTAACTTGATTTTATGGAGGATTAAAAGATGCAAATTTCAGTTCTTCCTTCAGTCAAGACGTCCCAATTTACTACCCCGTTCCACCATGTTTCTGAGTCTTAATAGGGACCCACTAAAAAGGTTTGTCTGCGGCGTTTACTTATATTTATGAACTTATTTTTCGATTACAGATTTTAAACTAATGAATGCTTTTTTTAATATGTTTCCTCGGGTATGGCACTTACTAACCTATTTCAATTAAAATCTTCCGAAAATCACATTTTGCACTTTTCTTGTTATTTCTCTCTGAGAGGCACCCAAATGAGTTTTTAAAACGATATAAAATTTTATTCTCCATATATCTCAATATGATGAAATTGTGTGCTTGGTCCGACCGACATAATAAAATTCATTGCGCCATCTTGAGCCATGTGTGAGTTAGCAATAAGAAACGAGATGATTACGTGAAATGTGTAGCGGATTGCTACCTTATTAAAGCCTGACTAACTCAGAAATCTCTTTGGCAGATTCTCCTACATCTAGCTAGTCTCCCAGATATCTGTGGCAGATTCTCCTACATCTAGCTAGACTCCCAGAACGGCAGATTCTCCAACGTCTAGCTAGACTCCCAGAACCAGGGAGATTCTCCTACATCTAGCTAGACTCCCAGAACCAGCTAAACCATAGCCCAGCTATAAAGGAAACAGACGAGTAGCACGGAGAATTCTCCAACATCTAGCTAGACTCCCAGAACAAGCTAAGCTATCGAACCAGCTAAGCTATAGCCCAGCTATAAAGGAAACAGACCGAAACTAGCTAAGCTATAGCCCAGCTATAAAGGAAACAGACGATAATTCGGAACACGTATATTCAGTCACGTAATGATCAGAAAAGTGTGCACGGAGCACGTTTATTCAGGACGTATCTTGCGGATCAAGTCACGTTTATTCACTACGAGCATTGCGGATAAGGTGTACACGCAGGAAGCTACTCAT